AAACAAAACAAACAAAAAAACCAAAGCTGCAGGCATCACCCTACCTGACTTCAAACTATACTACAAGGCTACAGTAATCAGAACAGCATAGTACTGGTACCAGAACAGTACCAGATACAGACCAATGAAACAGAACAGAGGCCTCAGAAATAATGCCACACATCTACAACCACCTGATCTTTGAAACCTGACAAAAACAAGCAATGGGGAAAGCATTCCCTATTTAATAAATGGTGCTGGGAAAAACTGACTAGCCATATGCAGAAAGCTGAAACTGGATCCCTTCCTTATACCTTATACAAAAATTAACTCCAAATGGATTAAAGATTTAAACATAAGACATAACACCATAAAAAACCCAGAAGAAAACCTAGGCAATGCCATTCAGGACATAGGCATGGGCAAGGACTTCATGACTAAAACACCAAAAGCAATGGCGACAAAAGCCAAAATAGACAAATGAGATCTAATTAAACTTAAGAGCTTCTGCACAGAAAAAGAAACTATCATTAGAGTGAACCAACAACCAACCAAAAGAATGAAAAATTTTTTTGCCATCTATCCATCTGACAAAGGGCTAATATCCAGAATCTACAAAGAACTGAAACAGATTTACAAGAAAAAAAAAAAAAAATCAAAAAGTGGGTGAAGGATAATGAACAGGCATTTTTCAAAAGAAGACATTTATGCAGCCAACAAACATATGAAAAAAAGCTCATCATCACTCGTCATTAGAGAAATGCAATCAAAACCACATTGAGATACTATCTGCTGTCAGTTAGAATGGCAATCGTTAAAAAATCAGGAGACAACAGATGCTGGAGAGGATGGAGAAATAGGAACACTTTTACACTGCTGGTGGGAGTGTAAGCTAGTTCAACCATTGTGGAAGACAGTGTAGTGATTCCTCAAGGATCTAGAAATAGAAATACCATTTGACCCAGCAATCCCATTACTTGTTATATACCCAAAGGAATATAAATCATTCTTTTATAATGACATGTGCACACATGTTTATTGTGGCACGGTTCACAATAGCAAAGACTTGGAACCAACCCAAATGCCCATCAATGATAGACTGGATAAAGAAAATGTGCCACATACACATTATGCAATGCTATGCAGCCATAAAAAAGGATGAGTTTATGTCCTTTGCAGGGACATGGATGAATCTGGAAACAATCATTCTCAGCAAACCAACACAAGAGCAGAAAAGCAAACACTGCATATTTTCACTCATAACTAGGTGTTGAACAACGAGAACACACATGGACAAGGAGGGGAACATCACACACCAGGGCCTGTCAGCTGGTGGGGGACTAGGGGAGGGATAGCAGCGGGTAGAGGAATAGGGGAGGGATAGCATTAGGAGAAACACCTACTGTACATGATGGGGTGATGGATGCAACAAACCACCATGGCATTTGTATACCTATGTAACAAACCTGCACGTTCTGCACATGTACCCCAGAACTTAAAGTATAATAAATTAAAATACATAAATGAATAAAAAATTAAAAAAAGAAAAGAAAAAAGAAGTACTCAGGAAGACTTTTTTGGGAGTATATATAGTTCACACATTTCTCTAGTTACTATAAAGTCCATATATTAATCAGAAAAAATGTATTATTTGGGCCTTTGCAGGGATGATTCTAGAATTATGTTTAAAGAGTTTTAAGAAGCTATCATGCCTAACTTGCTATTGTCATAGTAGCTATTAGATATAGTTGTGGATATTATTCACCACATTGCACAGCTTCCTCTTGAACAGGAAACGTTGCTCTAAAATCTCAGTGCTAGAAAATGTGGAAACCTTCTGAGATACTAGCCTTTAGATCTGATGTTACGCACAAAGTAAAACTTATCATATTTTCCTTTGTTTTGGCCCAAGGTAAGTACAGAACAGATTTTGTGGTACATGTGGAACAAATGCACAGTACTCTATCATGTGGATTTGGTGCCTGTGCCAGAATATCCATTGTCAGCATGCTAGTCTTATCTTTGCCATTATCTTCCTTCATTTGTCCTTTTCCCTGATTTCTATATCTATTCTTTCTTAGTCCCTTTGAATTGCATGTAATTATATAAGTTTCTTGAAACTGATTTTGGAAAGAATAAGTACATATACACATTAATAAAATAGGGGAGATCGTTGCTGCCATTTATTTGTTTCTCCTTCAGAATGGTCTTATAGTCTTTCTCCTTATCAGGGCCAATGAGCAGATCAATATACTTTTCTAGATTTTTGATTTCACTACAACAGTTATCACACAGCAAAATGAGGAATTCCATTAAGGAGTTTCCCTGCAACCAAGGTGATTTGACAATACATCTTTTTTCTAAAGGATCTTAGAATATTGAAGATAATCAAAACCACTCTTGTTTCTCAATGTAATCATATGGGTTAGGATTTCCAGTTAGAAGACAGGTAGTGTTGCTGTGAAAAGTCAGGTGACCTGGCTTCTGATCCTGATCATGTGTTCAACCAGTTTGGCGACCACAGGTAAACCATATAATCTTTCTGGGTCTCAGTTTCTTCAGAGGTTACACAATACCGGCTTTTCCCAAAGAGTGGTTTGAGATACACGAAGGTGCCATGATATGCTAATTGTTGTTCCATGAATAAAAGGGGCAAATAAATTTGGATAAAACTGGACTAAATAAAAATAAACCATTCCTTAATGGTGGCATTTATAAGAGCCTTTGCGACCTTTGGGTGAGAGAGAATAGAGTGCAAATATTATCCAAATTTGCATATTATGGGAGCATATCAATGGACAAATGCAAGTAATGACTAGGTGCACAATCTGACCTGTCCTCTCTCCCACTGTACCCCAACCTCTCACATGTTAACAGCTGGAACATATATACTGAATTATGCAAAAAGGTGTTTATAGGGTCTTCTGTAAGATGACAGGCTTAATCTACATTTAGAAAGTTTCAGCTCATGGTAAAACATCAGATGAAATTACATATGCTGCCAAGCTCTAGATCCAGAACATAGAGTTAATTGTGTATCCTTGACATTTTAGCAAGCCGGTATGGTTGAAGATACACCAATACACACACAGACACACACACACAAACATACATACAGAGCAAGAGAGCGTGAGCATTTGTGAACAACAGCATAAAGAAGCAAGAATCCTAAACTATATTTCTTGAATTAGCCTAAAAGGATAGTGGCTAATCTCTCCCTCATGTAAACTTTTCTGAAACTTGACACATGTGACTCTTATAGACACAATAACATATGGCCTTGTACTGGAATGGAGTAGGAGAAAGAGCTTTGCAGTCAAAAAGTCCTGGATGAGAATCTTAGCTGTTCTGATTTTTATATGTGTAACTCCTCAGTGAACTTCAGTTTTCTCACTTATGAGGATAAATCTGTGACCTTATAGCTTGTTTTAATGGTTAATTGGTAATATATAAAGCAGCTAGCAGATTACTTGATACACAGAAGACACTCAGCAAAATATTTTCTACCTTCCATTACAAAGAGTCCTCAGAATAGAGAGACTAGGGTTTGTCAGGCATAATATCTTGTATATAGGTAATAGATACTAATAAGAGTCTTAATATGAATAAACTTTGATTTCTAAACAATTAGATTTCACATATCTTTCAAGATATGACTCAAATATTACTTTTTCTGTACACTGTCTTATTATCTCAGCTGTAAAAGATTTTTCCTTTGGCCTTGAACTCTCTAAGTATTTTGCTTTTATTTCTATATCATTTAGCACATTTTTTCTTGATTTGCTGTTACTCCTAGACAGGCTGTATCTTCCCTCAAAAACGTTATGTCTTCTTATAGGTAGAAAACATTTTATTATCTTTTGTTTCCCTTGCAGTGCTCAGCACAGCTCTTCTTCAAAAATCATTTGTTTAACAAGTGAAAGTGGTGGCATCCTTTGACTGAGAGTAAGAACAGAGTTTTCTTTAACCCCAGTTAGGGCCCTTCAGGCCTTTCTATTGCTTGTTAGATGGCTTCCTCTTTTTATAAGTGAATCTTGCCATTAATCCTGTATCTAAAAAAAAAAAAAGTTCTGAATGTTCTTTTTTATGAAGCCATCCTAGGAGTGGACCCCCATTCTATTAGTGCCCACTGTACCTTAGGCATACCTCTATAATAACATTTACATAGAGTATTATAATTATATTTTTATAAGACTAGGAACTCCTGGAGGGCAGGATCCAAGTCTGCACCACTGTTCCCTAACAGATTTGGGGTACATAGTACATATCCAAAAAATGTTTGCAAAATGAGTGAATGAAAAATCCTCTATATTGCTGTGGACATAACATGAACTCAAGAAGAAATATACATCTGTGAAGCTAAATGAATTTCCCATATTTAGGGGTTCAATGCAAGATGTTACAAAAGTAATTCACAGTATCTTTTGGTGGGTAAAGTGAAGCCTGTGGAAAAGAGAGGAGATATAATCTTTCTATTCTTAGAGTGAAACTATATCCAGGAAGGATGGGAAATATTCGTAAATAAATATTTGTTGGTAACAAAATGGGAAGATTACAGAACATCATGAATCTAATACAAGATCAAGTTTTCTATGAGTTTCATGCAACGAATCAGGAATGATTACGGAAACATTAGGTCTTTCATACTAAAATGAGTCTAGGAAAAGTAGAGAGAAATAAGTTGTGAGAAATATTAACAACTTTGCTGGATGCGGTGGTTCATGCCTGTAATCCCAGCACCTTGGAAGGCCAAGGTGGGTGGATCACTTGAGGTCAGGTGATCGAGACCAGCCTGCCAACATCGTGAAAACCTGTCTCTAATTAAAATACAAAAACCAGCCGGGCATGGTGGCGTGCACCTGTAATCCCAGCTACTTGGGAGGATGAAGCGGGAGAAGCACTTGAACCTGGGAGGCAGAGGTTACAGTGAGCCGAGATGGTGCCACTGCACAGCTTCAGTATCAAATACATTGAAAATATAGTCCAGCTTTTGAATACTTTTTCTTAAAATTATGCCCCACCTCACGTTCCTCTTCTTGTTCTTTGCGAATCTGCTCCAAACGAAATTGTTCTGCCATCTCTCTCTCATGAGCTTCTCTCTGTTGATAAAACAGAAAAGGAACAAACACTTAACACATATTTGCTTACAAAGGAAGAGAGAAATAAGAAAAGAGAAAAAAGAGGAAGGAAAAGAAAAGAAACAGCAAGTGACATTCAAAGGCTCATTGTCAACATGACTCAGAGGTATATTGTGGTAATGGAAATGTTTCTTTCTAGGACAAGAATGGAAATTAAAGCAAAACTAAAGCATAGCTCTCTGATAATGTTAGGTTCCTATTCCAATATCTTTGATAGCTCTGGGTAAAGTGGCATTCAGAATCCTTCGGGACATCCTTTGGTCTTCCTTCCTGGCCTTTTCTATCTGTCCTGTACCCAAATCTAAAGCTCTATTTAATCAGCCTCTATCTATCCTCTATGCGTTCTGGACCCTTGATTGATGCTAGCTTATGTTGCTTCCTCCACCCTCCTACTGCTGTTATTCTGTCCAGTTCACATATACCATCTCTTCTATGAAATATTCCTGGTACAGTCCCACCCTCTGGCTCTCAAAAAAAAAAAAAAAACAAAAAACAACCTGGAAAAAAATTTCCACTAAAACTGCTAACTCAGTGTTTCCCTTATGACACTTAGGATTCTTGCCTTACGTTACAGCTACCTGAGTTCTTTACTTAATCTACTCTACCACACTGTGAGACTTCCTATGTGAGAAGAAACTGTGGCCTATTCATTTCTCTCTCCTTCAAAGCTCAAGAAGCAGGTGTTTATGAAGTATTCAATAAATCAATGGTTCCAAACCCTGACTGCACATGAGAATCACCCTTAGGTGATTCTCATGTGCAGTCAGGGTTTGGAAAAACTGTTGGGTTCTCTCATATACCAACTAAAAGACAAATAAGATAGATATCAGGTTCATTTTTGTTTTTATTTTTCATGAAACAAACTTTATTTTGTCAAAATGAACCATGCTTTAATAAGCATGTATAGAATTATATTCTTTCTGTTTACTAAACCTAGCTTTCTCTATTGCAAACCCAGTATTCTTAGAGATCAAAGTGATAAAGAGTTGCATTTAAATAATGAACAGTTGAGTTCTTTATCCCAGAAGTACTCGACCAAGCCTACCTTTGCTCTGTCAGCCTCAAGTGAAAGGCGATAGGCCTCATCTTGCTCTCTCTTCACATTTTCTCTGGCTTCACGTTCATCCTTAAAGAAAGAAAAAGATTCAAACAGGTTTTGCCATATTACTTAAAAAAAAAAAAGAGGGAAAAAAAAAACTAATGGTAATTCCCTTGTTTTACCCCTATATGGACTTAAAATTAAACAAGAGACTTTTAAAGTGTATAGGATATAAATAAGCAAACAGTAAGATGAGCAGCATGGTATATGGTAGAAATAAGAATGTTTGAATCCTAGCTCTACCATTTACAAACTGTGTGACCTTGTATAAGTTATTTAACTTATCCACATCTCAGTTTCCTCACTTGTAAAACAGAAATAATATTTGTCTTGTAGGGCTATTGTGAGAATTAAGTGCAATAATATAAACGGTCTAGCAAAGGACCTGGCGCTTAGTTCATTTTCATTATTAGTTCTCTTCTCCCTTTCTCCTATTTTTCTGAGATAAACTTGGAGACTGTGAGTACTGAAACTAAGGACTGGGAGGGAGTGTAAAGACTAGGAAGTAATCCCTGGGTCAGTGTAGAAAAAGGCCGAAAGCAAAATACTCTGGTTAATGTCATTCCATACCATACCACACCACACCACTAAAGATCTGGTTACCAATTAAATATTTCCACATTACATTCACACTCATGAAGTATGAATAACACAAGTTATCTAAGTTGAAAATCTCTTAGAATATTTTTAGCTTCTGAAATGATTATACCATCTGCCCATATTTAAATCATGAATTCATTTAAAATTAAAAGTTAATTCATGAACTGAGTTTCTCATTTGTTATATTCAGAAGTATAGCCAATATACATACACTTAACTTTAACAATAAATACCCACACCTGTCTACACTAGAGTGTAGGTTCCCTTTTTGGTCATTTATTGATTAGGCAGAACCATATAAAGCCACAAATATTTGTGACCTATAAAGCTGGAAATTTTACATAGTTTAACCTAATTTCTCACTTTTTGTCTCCCCAGTATATGCTTATTCAAGGCTGAATATATGCTCAGCATTCTCTTAGGTGCCTTGATACCTAATCAAGACTAGCCTTATCCCTCAAGCCTAATACATCTTCTAGTTCAAATAATTCAGCAAATTCCTAAAAGTTCTAGTATGAACAGTAATATTTCATTGCTTCCTAATCTTTCAAAAAAAATTAGGAAGAATTAGATGTTGCTGGCCTAAAGCTAATTGTCATTCTACAAAATATGAAAAACCATGTTAAAACTGAAAGGGTAATGTCTATCCTTTTAGTCATCTGTTAAAGAATTAAACTTCTTTTTTTTTTTTTGGAGAAGGAGTCTTGCTCTGTCACCCAGGCTGGAGGGCAGTGATGCAATCTCCATTTACTGCAACCTCAGCCTCCTGGGTTCAAGTGATTCTCCTGCCTCAGCCTCCTGAATAGCTGGAATTACAGGTACCTGCCACCACACCTGGCTAATTTTTGTATTTTTAGTAGAGATGGGGTTTCACCATGTTAACCAGGCTGGTCTCAAACTCCTGACCTGAAGTGATCTGCCCGCCTTGGCCTTCCCAAGTGCCAGGATTACAGGTGTGAGTCACTGCACCCAACCAAAGATTAAACTCCTAAGGATCCAATGCCTCTGTTGATAAGTCTATCTTTTCAAATTTAGATATCTCTTGAATGTAATCATTCAATTACGAGAGTAATCTTATCTTTCTACATTTTAAATGGGGGAAATGCGCAAGATGTTTAAAATTTTAATTTGACTTTACTTTCCTGACCTCACCCTTTCAAATTATTTAAAGTTTTTCACAACATTCTGTACTTTCCCTTTAAAGCACTTACCACAATTACAATAATTATCACATAATTATTTATTTAATGTGAAACTACCCCATGACACTGTAAACTACAGAAAGGCAGAGAACTTATCTATATTATATATTTCTGTATTTCACACACTGCCTAGTCTTTGGGAGGTGTTTAATAAGCATATGCTGAATAAATGAATTATCTTTCCAGGCATAAAATACTTATTGTCTGCAGCAGAAATTACAAAAGAAAAACATACAAAATGGCTGGCCCAATCTGAGTCTGACATTGACTGGCTGTGCAAGAATGACATGTTATGCCACTATGTACATATAAGAAAGACCATCTAAAAGCAATCACAGCTGGAAGCCCTTTGATCACAAATATGGTTTATAATAAAAGCATTCTAAGTAAACAGCTCTGTTGTAAAACAAACTGTAGCAGATATCAAAAGTCATCAGATACAGGGATCTCTGCAACAGAACGTGGCACCTGTTGTGTGTTCTTTCTCTTGCCCACGGCTCTCTCTGACCATCCTGACAGATGGGCTAGCTTGCACATGTGGCTCAGGATGAATTTTCCTAAATTTATCATGGTCATAGCTTCTTGTATGTTTGGTAGTTGTTGGTGAATAGTTATCATTTCTTCTTATTTGTTTCTCAGATTTTATACTTGCCTCTCCAACTGTCCTCTTCAGAGTAGTCTCCAATTTTGAGAAAGAGAAAATTACTTATGTGTTTCCCCTATATTATTCCATATTATTAGACTTTTTAGAAAATCCAAGGTATTGTGGTTAACACTTCATAATTTGTTCTCATAACCTGTAGATGTGCCTCTGGAACTTCTCTTGTGTCCTACAAATACTGTTCTTGTAGAGGTTCCTTTTGCTAAATCTGAGAGGACACATCAAAATAACTAGAAATTTCTACACATTAATTGGGTGGAGGTGGAATGGCTAGATTATGAGATTCAGAAACAGGTCTTAAGTGTTGTGCTACAGCTTAGGCTACTTATTATTCAAACACTCCTTGTCACACCAAAGTGAGAAACTGGATTGCTCATAAGTAATAGCCCCAATAGGTAGTTTTCATTTGTAACATACTTGTCACTGCTCTCATAGTGCTCTGAGATACCCATTTGTGTATTTGTCTCATTGCTCCCTACCTGAGCTGTATGCTCCCAGAGGGAAAAGACTCTATTTCATGTCTTTCTCTTTGTCTATGTCTTTGTCTTTCCTATAGCATCGAGTGTACTATCTTACATATGACAAGCATCTAATATATATATTTGTTGGATGAATAAATGGAATTATCAGTGCTCAACAGTTAAATACCAAAAATTCAGGAGCCTCTAAGTATTCTTCAGTCTAGTAACTTTTATTTAAATATATTTTCTATCCCAGGTATTATAATGAGTTAAAAAGTACCAGAATTATAATTTACTTATTTTTAGTTAAAAAAATTTTTGAGTACATAGTAGGTCTATATATTTGTGGGATATAGGAGATATTTTGATACAGGCATGCAATGGGTAATAATCACATCATGGATTAAAATGGGGTAACTATCCCCTCAAACATTTATCCTTTACGTTAAAAACAATCCAGTTATTTTTAAATGTAAAATTATTTTGACTATAGTCACCCTGTTGTGCTATCAAAGACCAGTATTACTCACTCTTACCCTATTTTTTGTACCCATTAACCACTCCACCTTCCTCCACATCCCACTACTCTTCCTAGCCTTTGGTAATCATGCTTATACTATCTATTTCTATGTGTTTAATTGTTTTGATTTTTACATCCTACAAACAAGTGAGAACATGTGATGTCTGTAGTTCTGTGTCTGGCTTATTTCACTTAACATAATGGCCTCCAGTTAAGTCCATGTTGTTGCAAATCACAGGATCTAATTCTTTTTTATTGCTGAATAGTACTCTTGTGTGTATGTACCACATTTTCTTTATCCATTTGCCTAATGATGGACATTTAGGTTGCTTCCAAATCTTGGCTACTGTGATCAATGCTGCAACAAAAATGTTAGTACAGGTACCTCTTTGATATACTGATTTCCCTTCTTTTGGGTATATACCAGCAGTGGAATTGCTGGACCATATGGTAACTCTATTTTTAGTTTTTAAAGGAACCTTCACACTGTTCTCCTAGTGTTGTACTAATTTACATTCCCACTAACAGGGTACAAGTGCTCTCTTTTCTCCACATCCTCTCCAGCATGTTACTTCCTGTCTTTGGGATAAAAGCCATTTTAACTGATACCTCACTGTAGTTTTGATTTGTATCAGAACTAGAATTTAAACATAGTCATTCTCACCATAAAGCCTGTTTCTTCCCCACTGTGGCACACTAAGTGGTCCAGCATAGTCCTGTATCTCTGAGACAACAGCCATTGAATTTTACTATGGTTTACTGAAAATAATGTCTATTAAAAATAATAATAATATTTTATTAGTTGCCAAATGGTTCCAAAAGGAATAATTTAGCAAAAAAATAAAATTTAGATGTAATTTACTACACCCTCAGCAGTGTTAAAGATTAGTAATCATCAGTTAATTCCTAAAAGACTAATTCAAAATTCCAAATTATTAAACTGAAGTGGCTATAGACTTTTTTCAAATACTTAACAAATGCATACACACACAGAATATTTACTGGTTCTTCTGAATGCCTAGGTTAGAGTGCATACTCTGCTCCCTGCTATACTAATAGGTTCTTGTCAACAGAGACATAGCCCTGCTATATATCTCTAGAGATATAAATCAAGATAACCTGAAGTTTTCCCAATATAAATACTTAGAGATAGTAGGTGAAATATAACATATATGTTCAAAAGTATTACTAAGCATGTCAGAAAAAAAACTCCAAAAAATACCAAAGAAAAATAAGTTTCTAAGTACCAGAAATAAAGAGGAAACTGAAAATCAGAGATGTAAATGATGAAGTAATTCAGAGCCTGACAAGGTAGATTATCCATTCTGATAACCTGGAAGCTCAATTGTGATCAGAGATCTCATTTTGGACTTAAGCAAGGTGAGGAGGTGTAAAAGTTATCTCTGGGGACAGGGCACAATGGCTCACACCTGTAATCCCAACACTCGGGAGACCAAGGTGGGTGGATCACCTAAAGTCAGGAGTTTGAGACAAACCTGACCAACATGGTGAAACACGTTAACTAAATACAAAAAACTAGCCAGGCATGGTGGTGCATGCCTGCAATCCCAGTTCCTTGGGAG